CTCCTTCCTCCTCAGGGGAGGGCTCCTCACAGTCCCGACTGCAACGTGGGGTCCCTTCTCATGGGAGAGTCCTTCTCAAAAAAACTGCTCCAGTGTGAGTCCTTTTCCACACGGGGCCACAGTCCCCAGACGACTGCCCGGCTCCGCTGTGGGCTTCTCCATAATTCCTACGTGGGGTCCTCCACGGCTGCATCTTCTCATGGGCTGCACCAAGGGACAAACTGTGCGTCACCATGAATCTTCACCACGCTGCAGGGGAAATTCTGGGGGGAAAACCTCCCTCTTTCTTGCTTCCCTTCCCTGACCGGAGTGTCGTGTGGTCCTTCCTTTCAAAGTCTCACTTCTCTCTCTGCCGCAGTTCTTCATCGGCTCTCGAGGAGACTGGCTCTCGGGTGAGCCATGGCAGAGGCTTGGGCTACGGCAGGTCGGTTCGCAGAACCCCCCCACAAAACCATAATAGTAGCCATTCTCAGTGTGAATGGGAATCTCCTTAGAAACACGTATACTTGCAGAATTTAATGTGTTAAATTAACAAAGCTGAAAAGCTCTTTACAGGGCTTGGATCCGTGATATCTGATGGATCGTGAGCTAACTAGAACTGGAGAGGCCTTTTCTGTTTGCATCTACAAGTCATTGCCTGGCTTCGGCAGGGTGCTTTGTATCTCCATGAAGCAGTTGTGAGCTTTTCCTGTCCATTCAGTCCATGGCTGGCTTGGCTGTCAGGCTGACGCTTGGGAGAACTGGACGGGAGCACATGGCCCTTGCTGACATCCTGTGCAGACACACTTCTGTGGCAGGCCATGGCCTCCCCTGCTCAGGGAGTGTTAGCCATGCGTAAGCTGCTCAAAAAGCAACAGTCAGCAAACATTCTCCTTCAAGGAACAAAACATGGTCCTGGAGAAAGCAGGAGAGTCTAAGTGACAAGAGGGGGGTTCTTTCATTCTTTGCTTCTCAAAGAGTGAGGAAGAAGAAATAGCCATCACTGCTGGCTGAAGTTAGATGAAGGTTTCACTGCAACAACACTGCATCAGCTCAGCAGTCTTACTGGAGGAGTCTGGGTTCTTCCCACTTTGGGTCTATGTGCTCTTTTATCTCTGCAGATGTGCCTCCTCCTTTACTCCCCTTTCTCTGTATTCTTCCATTCTGATGCAGGTTTTTCCCACCATAATACTCCATCCTCGCTTCTGGCCATCTGCCTCTACTTTTGTCCTGTGTTCTGTGCTATCTGGTCCTCATTGTAATAAATGAGATTCTTTGCAATGTCTGTTTTCCTCGTTGAGGTCAAGACTGGCTGCTGTCTCCCATGCCACCATGCTGCTTTTCCCTTTACAGAACAGCCTATTGCCACTCTAACCTGTACTGTATTTTGCTGTTAGTGTAAGGGCCTTTGTCAGTTGCAGTATTTTCTGTAAGTCAAATAGTACTCTTCTCATCCTGTAAGTAGAATAATAAAATCCACAGTCATTTGGTGCAAGTTGTCCATCTGCTATGATCTCCTGCATCCAGTTCTTGTAACTGTTCTCCTTCTTCTTTCTTTGGATTCATTGGAGACCAAGGAAATTATGCAGCAGCAAATTCTTACAGCTGGAGCAAGAAGTTCTCAGAGTTGAGAAAAGCTTGTGTTTGATGTTAGTTTGACATGGGATTTCTTGTTGCTTTTTCCTCTGCCATCTCTCCTTGCACCCCCTTAACAATGACGGTAAGGGAGAGTTATTCTTTCTCTTCAGGTGGCAGGAGCAGGTAGGAACTGTTGTTCAGATCCTTGGACTTCATCATAAACTTGGACTTGAACTTAAATATGCTTGAACATAAAACAAAAAGACAGTCCTTTTCCAAATCTTGATGCCACATTCCCTCGCTATGAGGAGGGGAAGCTGGGGACATTCAGACCTTCTTGGGGAAGTGCTTCCCAATAGAAAAGGATTATAAACATAAGGTGTGTTATTGTATACAAGACAAATGACCAAAACCACTTCTTCATCTGTCTGCCAGCACCTGTGACTCTGGACAGCTGTCCCAAGGACAGACCTTCCAGGTGCAAGAGAGACCCTTAATCTCCCCTTGCTTCCTAATACACATCTGAGGTTCTAGGTATTAAAGTAATGTATGGTATCAGGAGTGTTAAGGAAGTTGTCGTTTGTATGTACAGCCAGCTCCCTAAGGGAGCACACAGGAGCTAATGTATTAAGGACACACTTTTAACTGAATCTGACCTTTTAAAAGGGTCATTCTTCTCCCTTGCCTTCTCTGCTTGGACTTAATCCCATCCAGCCTTCCCCCACAAGTCCTTCCTAGCCCATTGTTCCACTCACCTTCTTTCAGATCCTGCCTTTTGGCTGCCTTCCCTCACATACACTGCTAGCCCTTCAGGTGAAAAATTAGTATTGAAGTGAGCAAGGATGACGTACTGTTTCATAAAAATTGGGGACCCTATCTTTTTCAGAGTCCAACACCCATGGAAGCTGGTTTGGAAAGTAAATGCCTACATGTCTTTATGAAGGAGTCCCCAAGTCCCTCAGCAAAAAGACAAAAGGGAGATGCCTGGGAGGCCCAGAGAAAGGTTTGATTTGTTGATTCTGGGGAATCAGGTGTCCTACAGGTATTAGTACTCCATTATTATACTTAGTATTTGTTAATAAGGAACATCGTGAAGGATAACTAGCAACAACACTGCCTGCCCAGGGCGAGCACCCAGTGCCTACCCAAATGCTGCCTTTTGCCAGCTGCTGCGGAGGTAATACATTAGTCAATGGATGTCAAAATTCAGTTTCCTGGGGGAAATAATGATTTTACTCAAAAGCGGAGTGTGCCTTCCTTAATAAGGGACACTTAGCAGTGTGGGATCTCATCTCTGTACTCTGTTACTCCCTTCCACGTGCTGATGTGCCCTCTCTTCTAAAAGCAACCAACCCTCACTGGATCAATGAGGTCTGATCAATTATTTTTCCCTCTGAATTATCCATATGGGGTTGTTAGCTGAGCTGCTGGCAGAAAACGAGAGACAGCTTTCTGTCTGTTTACTGTAAAGAAAGCAAAGCAAACTACAGGAGGGGACAGGCTGCAGGGGTATTTACTGTCAACACAGCCGGAGAGAGAGAGGAGCTATAAGGAGAGGGAAGGAGAGGGGGAGCAGAGGCTGCAGACTGCAACCCAAATGAATGATCTGAGTGTAAAAATACCTGTGCTGTTTCAGACAGAAAGTGGGTGGATTGAAGTCAAAAAGCGATAGCTGAGAGTGTTTACCAAATGGTTTTGTGAAGGGCTAGTGAAGCAGGGAAGTACTTGCGGCACACAGAATGATAATGCTGTACACCAGCATACTGAACCTGTGGTGCACTCTGAAAGGCACTTTCAGATCTGCCCTGAGACAGAGCAGTAGCTGGGATATTTTTGTGTGTGCCTGCATGCAAGACCCACCATTTAAAAGTAATAAGATGCACAAAAATGATTGAACTTAGAAAATAATAATTGGAATTGATTTTCTGAAGCAGCTGGATGTCATCATTGTAATTCAGACCATAAAAAAAAAAAAAATAAGCATACTTCCTTGCTTCTCTCTCCTCTTTTTCACCCACAGAGGAATTAGGTGACCTGAGCTTCACAGGGCAAGAAAGCTCTGAGCGGCTTGGTCTGAGTGTCCCTCTACTTCCAGAGGCAGGTGAACGAGTGAAGAACGAATTCACACTTTAGAGAGCAGTGAAGACCATCTTGCCATGAAACCATTCACAGATGAAGATGTAGAAGTCTACATCCAGAGCAAGGTAAGGCTTTATCTGTCCAGATTTTCTGTCTCCCACACTAGGTGTTGATACTGAAGGGTGCCAAACTTGACAGTTAGTTGCTGGGTTAGTTGCTCGCCTGCTGTCTTCATTTCTGCGACAAGATGGGGTGAAGTTTCATGAGGACTGTGTTTCTAATGAGATTTCTAGGTTTCTGTTGTAGAATGTTATCAGGGATCTCAGCTGGTAGCCTGATTTTTCAAGCTGCTTGTCCTCTTCTTCTTCAGATGTCCTGAATTTTTGTTCCCAATCTGGAATTCCAGATGTGACACTAGCTGTAATTGCTGGCATTTAATCTAAGGAAAGGTTCTTGCCTCTCTCCCTGTCCAGTGTTCTTGGCTTGACAAAAACAAAACCACACCAGGGGTTGTCTCTAAGAAAGATGCATGTAGGAACTAGAGAGAGAGACAGATAATGTTAGAATTCACCCATCAGTCTGTCACCTCAGCTAAGGATACTTCTCTAGATACCGTGATCAAAATAACATCTCATTAGCACATGCAGACTGGAACCACATTTTCTATTTTATGAGATATTCCAGCACTTGAATTTTTTTCCCCCATTATGAAATGAAGTAAAACTGAATAAAATTGTCAATGAAAGAATACTGTTTAATAAAAGTAACTCTTAAGTGAGCCATAATGTTTATTTAAAGCTGACAACTTTCAGCATAGTACTTAGCTAGATCCTATTTTATAGTCTGCTTTCCCCAACAAAATGCAAGACACCAAAGTGAAAAATAATTTCAAAATGGAAAACTGTAAGGCTTTCTTTTCTGTAAAGGATGAACTATTCTAGTACCATGAAGGGGCTGGTGAAAAAAAGGTTTGTTTTCTCTATGGAAATGTTTTAGAGACAAGTAGGTGTATTTCTATGAGAACTTTAATTTTCAGCTATGCAGTGTGGTGCACCAGAAAATTGTTCCATCAAAATCGGTTCAGTGAGCCATAATAGTGAACACTTCTCTGAAGATTTATAAAGCAGAGCTACAAAGGAGGGAACAGAGGGAAGCCATGGACAGGAAGTTGCTCATAGGACAGCCATAAGTGCAGGGAACAGAAGCAAAGTATAGTTAAGTGAGGCTCATAGTTGCCAATATTTTAGGTTCTACTGAAAGTCTGTTTTCTGGCAGTCCTCCAGCTCTGATGGATTCCTAGTTTCTGCCTGCTTCTGAGTATCCTGTCCAAGTGAGGCTGCCTAACCTTCAGGCAGCCCCAATTCTGCTTGTCAAATGCTGCCTGGTTTTGAAAACAGGTCAACCACCTGGTGCAATGAATCTCTGTGATACCGAAGATTTCTTCCCTAAGCCACTCAGCAAAGGAAAACCTCAAATGCACATGGAGTGGATGTGACTGGGTAATTAAGAACAAAGCCAAATGTTCTTAACAGTCCCCAGTAAATCCCAGTCCTGCTTCCTTCTTCCATAATAAAACCTTAATTGACCATGTTGTTCTGGTTTTGTGCGTTTGTTTTGGCATGATTTACAAAGTTAAGACCTGGTAAGGGGAATGCCAGTAGGTGGTAGAAGTGACTGTCCAACAAAGAGCTTATTCTGTCTCTTCTCCCAACATGTCTGTACTGGTGCTATCTTAGATAAATGCCTTGGCTCTTCAGAAGCTGCATTCACTCACTTATGTTTTGTCTTATGACTTTTATGGCTTCCTTTCTGTAGGAAGGTTATATCTTCTGATAGCATGATTAGGGAGATAATTATGGTTAGCAACAGTTAGCACCATCTGTCACATGCCCTTTGTTCTTTCATTCCTGCCTCGGTGACAAGGAGTACATGCAGAAAGAGATGTTTAGTGGTACCTCCCTTAACAGATTTTTTGAGAGTCTGTACTCTCAAAGATTTCATGAGAACTGCTGTACCCTTGCCAGTAGGTGATGAAGACACAATTCAATGAGGCCAGGCTGGGTTGGATGGACTCTCCAAGGATACTGGAGGTGGCAGAATGTGTTTCTAGCAGATGTCCCTTAGAGAGAACATAGCATGAGCAATGCGTACAGAGGCCCTCTTAGATCTCTCGTTTGAAGTGACCCAGTGTGATTGTGTACTTTCAACAGAAAAAGTCTGCTTTTTGTGTCTAAAAGCTCCTAGAGATGGACAACTTTCTCCACCACTCATACCATTTGCTTGTTGAAGAAGCCATTGGCCATCTTGTTGAGCAGGTCAAGCTTCTTGGACTGCTCTGAGGAGGTCTTCTGGATGAGCAAAAACATGACAGAGAAAATAGCTATAGTTACAGACGGAGAAGTGCCTTAAACAAAAGCTGTGTTGAGGTGAAAATGAACATGGGCTAAAATTTTTCAGTGTAAATTTTATTTAAAAAAGAAAGTACATGTAAGCTAGCTAAAACTGGTCTCAGAGAACAAGGATTAATTGGAATGAGGAGGAGGGTGAATTACTAGGGAAATTGTAAGGGACTAGGTGTTGTTAACATACCAAAGAATCAGAATGTCAAGGGCAGGTGAGAGCCCAGAGAAGGGAATATGATACTTCTGTCTGATGTATTTCCCACTTCCAAAAACTGTTCAGGCTTAGTAACAATACTGTTAAGTTTGTTGGCTGAGGAGGTGTATTCAAATTCTGTTCATGTTCAAGTTCAGTGTTAGTCAATTGCTATTAATTCGTTAATTGATCTTAGGCAAGCACTAGTCCTTTTTTGTCCATTGTACAGTCCATTGCTGTGAAGAAGTGAACCTATTTGTCTCCTCCCAGGGCTTGAAGACACATTTCAACACACCTGAGTGTTTTGTCTGACAGTTCAACATTTGACATAAAGGTGTCCAAAAGGACTTTTAACGAGTGCTTGTCAGTGGTATTTTCTAGAAGGGAGAAGTGTTGTTTAGATGCTGAAGAAGATGCTAAGCAAGCAGGACACAGGAGTTCTAGAACAGAATCACAGAATGGTTTGGGTTGGAAGGGACCTTTAAAGATCATCTAGTGCAACCTTCCAGCTGTGGGCAGTGACATCTTTCCTTGGATCAGGTTGCTCAAAGACCCATCCAACCTCACTTTGAACACTTCCAGGGATGGGGCGTCCACAACTTCTCTGAGCAATCTGTTCCAGTCTTTCACCACTTTAATTGTAAAAAATTTCTTTCTTATGCTTTTGCTTTGATCTTTGATAATAACAAAAGACTGTAGCAATTATGTTTGACTGTGGCAATTATGCTTGGTCATTCACTTTAGGCAAGCTGTTAACACTATTGTTTCATACCTGCAAATAGCCCAACTGGGGTTTTAGTTTTCATTTTCTGATGTAGGTCTTTTAAACCTCCCATTTGTTTCTGATTTTTTTTTTTTTTGCCTGAGAACAATGAGATTTAGCAGAATATGGTGAGGAAAAAGGAAAACCAAGAAGAAATTAAAGCAAAAATTGACAACAAATGAGATGAAGCATTGGGATGCAAAAAAGGACTGTAAACAGTCTTCGTATCTCACTCTGCATAGGTAATTCTGGGTGAATAAGTAATGAGGAATATGTTAATGAACCATAGCTGAATCTCCTTCTCACTTTGGTAAATGTGTAAGGATCTTTGGGAAATATTTAAATGTCCTTTGCTAACATGGTTCCTTCATATTCCTTCTGTTGAATCTCCTTGTTCAGATTTTGACTATCCCCTTATGCTCCATTCATTTTTAGTCATATGTGAAGGTTCAGGTTCATCTTATATTTTTCTGAGTTGTCCGTCCTTCCAAGACTCAGTCCTTCCATTTAAATAATTTTCAATAAATAATTATGCTACTGCTGCTTGAGTTGAAGAACTATCCATCAAGACACACAAACACCTCATCCCCAATAAGACCAGTGTTGGAAAGATGCTTTCTCACCATCTAGGAGTAGACTCTCATCTGTACTGCAGATATGAAGACAGTATGTATGCTTTCAACATACAATGTAGGCATCTAAATGCTGCCACATACACCTGCAACCTGACTTATGCACAGAATATCTGTAATTCTTGAAGTCTTGTCAGCTCTTGGAATGAAACATATCCTGGTTCTGAGAATGGCTTGTATATGCAAGGGAATAACTGGGTACTCCTCATCAAATGGATAAAGAATGAGACTGTAGCTGGTTGATACCAAATTTATCCATGTAATGAACTCTTACCCTTCAGTCCAATGGTATTGGCATGGAAATATCAATTAATGCTCAGCAGTCTTGAGTATTGGCCCTTCAGTGTTTACCAGCTGCTTGTTTACCAGCTCTGTCTCATGGTAAGTTGGTTGTAATGCACAGGGAACAATAAGTTTTATTCCCAGTGCAGCACAGGCACAAATGTTTCGGGATGTTTCAAGCTGATGTCTGTTTCCTGCTGGAGACAAAGACTGCAGTCACCTGCAATATGAAGTGTCCTTCTTGGAACTGACAGGTGGAACGGCGACATTGTCTGGTTTCCAAAGCAGTGGAGGAGGTGCAGAAAATCATCCAGCAACTGACTGCAGAAATCAGCTATAAGGCAACGCGATTCCAGGCTATCTCCAACTCTGGCATTCACAATGAGAATATTAAGGTATGAACAAGAGCTCTCATATACTCACTGGCAGCTTGTAGGCAATCAGTAAGTGATTTCTCCATTGTGTAATTGTTTGTATGGACAGGTACCTTACCCAAAATGCCATAGATGATGTGTTGGCAATTCACTGTGGAAGTTTTAGTGACTGACTGGGTCATAGGGACTTACTCATGGACATCTTACAACTCGAGAAGCATCAGAGAGGGTTGGGTAAATCAGGCAGAGCCTCTTTTTACAGCTGCTGCTCTTACAAAGAGCGTCTATTGCCAGAGCTGTCAATCTGCAAGCAGAAGCCAAAGCTCTTTGAGAGACAGAAATAAAAACTTGTACAGCAGTAACATAAGAAGAAAAAAATGCTCATGTCTTCATGAGCTATGACTCATATTTTTCACAGGTGGAAAACCTGTCAACTCACTAAAAAAAAAGAAAAAAAAATCAAAAATCCTTCTGCTATGAACATTAGAAAGCAACTTCAGAAAAATATGGTTTTTCTTGGTCATGGATTGGAACTTCTTTTTTTTGGGGGGGGGAAGAAATAGGCTTTTTAGTGGGAGAAGTTAAATGCTTCCCCATTTTGGACCATCAAATACCAAAATAATAATATTCCGTCCCAGCTGTGACAGGAGAAGACTGGTTATTTCCTTGACTGCTTAACACAATAACTTGTTTAAGGTATAAGAAGCAATCATAGCAATGTCAACTTCAGAGGAAAATAATCTTTTTCATCTGAACTAGTTTACATACTCTAGCTATGTCAGCCTTTATACTAAAATGCAGCCAGTTACCGATTGAAATACAGCAAATATGTGAAAGCATGAGGCAACTTTTGCAGCTGCCTAGGATTGAAAGGGAAGAGCTCTGTGTGTAACAAGCTGCTGGAAGGGTATGAAGGTGGAGGCAGAATGTAATCATCCAGTCTGAAATGTGGCTACTGCTCTGGGGACGAACACATTCAGATTTATGTCTTTTGTGGAATTTTGCATATCCCAGAGCATGTGGTCTTGCCAATAGGAATGACCACAGTGATGTGAAATGGTGCCACATCCTGGTCCACGTGTTCCTTAGTGCCATAGTCTACCATCCACCTCTCGTACTGGAAAAAAACCTGCTTGGCTAATGAGGTCTGACAGGATCAGAGTCAGGGTAAAATTGCTGTGCTGGAAAACAAAGCAGAATAAAATGAAGGTGCTCTATTCTGAGCAGTAATTTGATACTATGGTAGGCAGATCTGAACAATTTCTGCTCAAAAGAAATCCTCTAAATTTATTTTCTTAAAAAGTGGCAGATTAGTTATTCATACTTAACGGAACTCAGTGCTATAGATGTATGGAAGTCACACTAGGAGGGCCTGGCTAACTTTGGGCGGTGGGTATAGGGCAGCAAAGAATGGGTTAATATGAAAATTTTTTTTGGCTTCAGCTGTTCTGCTCCCAAAAAATAGAATCTTTAATGTCATTGCTGACATAATTCCACCTAGAGGAGACTTGTGTCATGGGAAAGCCAATGTATTAACTATTTTGTGTTTAATTTTGCAACATCTTTTTTCTGTTGATTAAATTTACAGTGACTTTTCAGAACTTTCAGCTTCTGGTTAAAAGAAATTAATTTAACATGGTGAGGGGTCTAGATTTGTTCAGAAGCTACAAGCCTCCTCCTAAATATGCAGGAGCTAAGTTCGGTATATATAAGAAAAGTCTTTAGATATTAAGTGTTTTTCTGTAACCCAGAGGACAAAAAGTCAAAAACTTTGATTAATAACTTGAAATAAAACTCAGATGGACAAAATGGAATATTTTATTTTTAAACCTTTTGAGTGTTTTTTGTAGTTGTGGGGGGGATGGGGGGGATTTTCCTTTAACAAGTAGGCTCAAAGGAAGCTTGAAGCTTTGCTCTGTGAATGAATGACCTGGCACATGCTTTCTCTCTATTCTGTGTACTTCTTGTTTTCCTTTCTGCTTCTCTCAGGATCAGCCAGCTTTACTGGCCAAGTGGTCAGCTATGCTTCAGGGGAAGCGCCCATTCTACCCATCCATCCAGGTACAAAGCCTTCCTGCCACCTGGTGCCTAGCAGTCCGTGTGCCTACTTACTCCTCACCCACCCTCTTCTCCAGACTTCACCCACCTAACCGATCCTCCTGGAACTATTTTATCCTCTCCCCAGGAGACTTGCTTTTCTGCTCAAAGAGTAAAAATTTTATTTCTAACCTATTACTTCTGCCTCCCTGGGATATCCTGGCCAAGATCGCAAGAATGAGGCTGTATTTAATTTCCCCAGCACACTGCAGGCAGGTTTTTAACGCAGCAGAATTAGCCACAAGTTACTCCAGAATTTGAGGCTTTTGTTCAAGCCTGTGAATTGCTGGGACGCATGGTCTGCATGTGGCACCTAAGACCATCGTGTGATAGAGCATAGGTGTGGGACTGGGATTTGTTTAGGTCAAGAGGACACCAGTTGCCCAGCTTTACAGTGCCATCCCCAGCCTTGTGATTTCTGGTGCTTCCTGGTAAGCTTCAAGTGGAGGAGCCATGTGATTTGTATTTGGAGGCACTCTCATAACACCTGTGGCTCTTCCCTTTGAAACCTGTTGGGTGCGAGTGTGTGAAAGTCAGTATCTTAGTATGGGAGGGAACAATTGTTTATCTGCAAATGGTGGCCAAGGCAGTGAGATTAGCAGTAATTGCATGACAGCCACCTCCTTTATGGAGCTTAGCACTTCATTCCTGAGCTGTTCACAGGATTTCTCAGCCCCAGCAAACCTGACGTGTGCAGGTCAGCTTGGTCTGCAATGCCATCCTTCCAGTATCCTTCTGCCTTTAGGTGGTTTATAGTTGGGGAAAAAAAGAAAAAAAAAAAAGAAAAAAGAAGAAGGGCTTTCTGGTGTTTCCTTTGCCATTTATGTGCTACTTGCTCACTATCTTTTGTATTTCAAATCTCTTGCCAGGGAGCAGAGAAGCCCAGCTGCTCCCTGTGGGAGAAGGAGCTGGGAGGAGAGCCAACCAGCATGGCAACACCTGCCCCATGGTCCCCAAGCAAGGCAGACCTAGGGAGGGCAGCTGGGGTCAGCCGAGAGTCTGGATCATCAGGCAAGCCTGTGCTGATAAAGCAGGTCTGAGGTGAAGCCAGGAGCACTCATCAGGGTCAGGATCAGGCCCAGCGATGGTAACCAGGGTCAGATGCAGTGTATTGACTGCCAGGCAAGTCCGTAGTGGCCAGGTAGGTCTGAGGTCAGGCTGGGAAGGCAGTCTGCAGGAAGGACAACAAGGTCTATGGCCAGCCACAGGCATAGCTGTCACACGGTTGGAGACCAGCACTCCTACAACATGCCTGGGGCTCAGCTGGAACGGCAGTCCCAGGCCCATGGGCAGAAGGTGTCAGTAAAAGCCCCAGAAAGGCTGCTAGGGCCATTAAAGCCTGCTAGTGCTTTCTGGGCCTTGCTACCTCTGCAGTAATATTTTAAATCAGCTGAGCTACCAGGAAGGCTAGCAGAATGTTTTGGATTATTACAGGAGAGTGACAAGCATGTTTCATTCACCTCGGATGTGTCCACCTTGCAGCAACAGCTGTCACTTCAATGTAAGTTAGGCTTGGTAGCAAGTAGAGTTCTTCTGAGTCAACACAGTAAAAATCTGAAAGAGTTTGAACACCCTCTCTGGAGCCACGATTGCCAAATGCTTCCAAACTAGTGTTTGGAGATGCCTGGCTGTGCCCTGGGCCAGTATGAGGTTTTTAAGGTGAATTGCTGGGATGCGTGGTATTTGTGCCACCTCACTCACTCTTCACAAATACTGGTTCAGCACTGGTTTTATTGAAAAATGGTCATTCCCAAAGTGAGGCCAATTAATTGGCTTGCAGACAAGCCAGTCCAAGGGTTTGTTGTCCATTGTTTGCTGTTTCCATCCTTACACTGTTTCTGGCTTCCACGCAGCAGGAGATGCAGTTTCATACAGTACAGCTGGCTAAGGCCTGGGTTTATTTCTGGAGTGCCACTGCCTGCGTAGGCTCGGGCATGTCACTTGCCTCATGTCTCTGTCTCTTAAAGGACAGTCATATGGAATGAAACGCTTGTAAAATGAATGTGCCGTAGCCTTACTTTACTAATGTATGTAATGGACTTTGAAACAGATCAGAAAAGTGAACCTTTTTGACATAGTTATTGCTACTATTGAACTCTAGGCTTATCTCTAGTAAGAAAACTTCCACTATTTTGTTTCCCGCTGCTGGATCTCACAACATGCTCTCTGATGCTTTCCTGCTCCTTGGAAGCTGCTAGTTATTATATCTCACGCAATTGCGGACTAGAAATGACAAGGAATGGGGGAAACCATGGCAGGTGTGGTTGCAAATCGGCCAGCCTGCTCTTGTCTTCTGTGGGTCATGGCTGTCACATCAGACTCCTTCTAAGAGAATTTATTTTTAGTCTGTGTACTTCCAAAGTAACCCTCAGACAGGCATGGAACAGGTCCTGGCTGTATTCCATTGCTTCCATCGTACCATGGCTTTTCCTTCTCTCCAAAGCCCCCAGTTTTACCTGTTACTTCCTTAACCCTCTTTTCCTTACTTCAGGCTCGTGGATCTGCCCTTGCCTCCTCTCTCAATCTCTCTGAACTCTCCTAGGTCTTAGCACCCAGCCAATTCCTCGTCACAGTCCCTCTGCGTGGCCTGACTGGGTACAGGGAACGCCAGGTACGGCACTGGCGTTATTACACCGTGCATGGAGCCAAGCTCCTCTCTTCCGTGCGGGACCCTGAGGAACTGCATCAATGGCTAGAGGTGGAGCAGTTCTCAAAAAGCCTTCGGCAGTGGCATGAGAAGGACGTGAACATCGAAGGTGATCTGGTTCCAGCCAAAGTCCTTATCGTCTTCCGGGAGCTGGTGGAGAAGTCAATTATCTCCTGTAACCTCTCCAGTGAGTTTAGTGGGGACAAGTATAAGGGGAACTGGCTATCTTCTGCAGCTGATAGAGAGACACCACACACACACACAAAGTGTTTGGCTCATATGATCAGAAGTAAAGAAACAGCACACCCCGCCAAAATCAGGGAGCCTTTAGCCCATTGCAGTGATGCGTGTAGAGCTACAATTGGAGATAGAATTAAGTGGTTCTTGGGCTCTTCATACCAAAGATGTTGTCTCTTTCTTAGGAATTCGGATAGGGTCGCCAGCAACATCACCCTCACAGTTCAATCAAGATGCAACCCAGATTTTCAGAATATTTAGGAATTTGTTTGGGAAAAATCTTTTTCTACTACAGCACCTGAAATACATCTAGACTATCAAGGAAGATAGTATAGGAAAATTGGATACAGGGAAGGTGCATGAGTCTGAGGAGAAAGTGCTTGAAGATGTGTGTAGGGCACGTAATGCTTTGGGGAAACTTTAGCTACCCATAGCTTTCCAGCTAGAACTAGGCTCGGGAAGTTGGCTTTCAGTAGCGGTGCTGATCCCTCTGTGAGCAATCCAAAGCGCCTGTTTATTTCCTGTGGCTACTTATACTGGAAGTGCTGATCACTGACATAATGCAATCAGTGGTGCATTCAACATGCCTTCATAGCTGCAACATCTGTAGCAAGATGCTGCCTGAACAGTGATCCTCATGCTTAATTCTTAGCATCCTAGAGGCATATTATAGATTTCAGATAATGAACACTTGGCTTGGTCCAAGCTAAATTGTCTGTGTCCATCTTTTCACATTAAGATGCTGTGACATGATCAAGTCAAGACTGTGGTGCCTCTTCTCATAGCATGTTCCCAGGATGACTTTACACATCAGCAGCCTAATATGGGGTCTTCTGTATTTTGGAGAAATAGGATCCATTTCCACTCATCTGATTGCACTCTGAATTATAGTCACAGGAGAAAACATGTTAACATCAAGCTCAGCTAGATCATTGCATTCTTCCAGGAAATGCTTGTTATCATGGAAATGTAAAGGTTGATGGAAATGAAGTTTCACCATTGAGGCTCACAGAAAAGACAGGATGGAATGGGCTTGCATCTGAGACTTTACTTATGTGGAAGTCATTGTGTTGAAGTGAAAACCTGCTATTGTGTCTAATAGCAGTACATCAAGTTGTTGAGCCAGGAGAGGTGCTTCCAAGGCACCCAGGGAGTGATGTTGGGCTGCTGATTCTGATGCCTTTTTTTGTAAGGCCAGCTGGGAGGAGATGAGCTGAGATGAAGTCAGAAGGAGTAATTACTATTTTTGTTTGTTTCAGTGAAGAATGAACTTCCTCCATCCCACAGTACAGCTAAAGTTACAGAAAATTTTCCCTGATTTCATTGCTTCCCTGTTTTTCAATTCTATGAGCACCAACAAAACCAGTTTTTGAGGTGTCTTGCTTTTCACAGAATCACACAGAATCACAGAATGTTAGAGATTGGAAGGGACCTCGAAAGATCATCTAGTCCAATCCCCCTGCCGGAGCAGGACACCTAGATCAGATCATAGGTGGGAAAATAGGTGGCACAATTGCAATGCTTTTGGAAGCACTGTGAACATATTTACATGCTGACAGCAGTTGCTCTAGTGCTTTTCAGCTGCTAAGGGTCACTGCTGAGGGCTTCAGAGCAGTACAGTTCCTGTTTTGGTGCCAGGCTTGGCTCAGCAGGGAAATAACATGCAGATTTTACTGAGGGTTATTAAGTTCTGGTTGGGATGGACTCCACTATTTGCAAGGTAAATCACCCCTGTGCTTTCTGGAGGAGATGCTAAATTGCCATTGGGAGTAGGCAGATATTTCCTCTGTGAGGGCAGAAGAGGTTGCCATCCCAGATGTTCACCACTGTCCCTTCAAGTCTGCTGTGTGGGCTTCTTGTGGAATTGCTCCTTAGCCCATATCAATCAAAATGATGTGGGTTAACACACTACTGTTTAAACTGCTTATGGTAATCTGTTACATCTTTTACTTCAGTTGATTAGAGCATGATCATGCAATTGGCTCAGATGGCAAAGCTGAAGGAACAGTGATCCTGCCAGAGTGACAGGGAAAGCTGGGGGCAGAAACTTCTTCATGAACACAGCCAAACCAACAGGAAACATCTCACAAAGTCCATTAGTTGCAGCTTTCGTTCCTTTCTACTCTCTTAGAGCATGTTGTTCCTGGAGATGAGCCACTCTTCTTTCACTGGGGAAACTTCTTTCCTCCAAATCACCAGGGAACTAACTCTTTTTTGATACTCGGCTGTCCCAGAGAGGCAAGCAGTTAGCCCTTCTTGTATGACTTCTCTGCACAAGAGACCATAAATTCTGGCATTGTCTTCTGTGCAAGTGCCTCTCCAGAAACAAAACTTATAGATACCCCACAAAGCATTCTGAATTACCAGTAGGGGTAAGTCACTTGGTCTGATCACAGGCTCTCTGAAGGAATAAGGACATCTTTACATACAAAGCGTTCATCTGGTCCCCTCTAATCGGCAGTCATCTCCTTATACTGGCCCTTTGGAAATGTTAGGTTGCACCAGTTGTCTGTCTGCATTTTTAAGAAGCTGGTCCTAGGATTTAAGAGGACCCACAAAAGAAAACAAAATCATGGTAACTGAGTGTAAAATTAAGAACTTAGCTGTTCCTTCATTTTCCTCCTGTTCTCATTCCCCAGCATAGATTTAGATGATAAGTTTTTTCTTGTATTCTTCTTATGGCATTGAAGAGAAAGTGTTAAGACAGACCAATAGAACTGCAAGGCCCTAGACAGCCTCTTGCTTGGCTTGTGGAGAAGGACCTTTTAATCTTTATTATCTTCTCTTGTTGTTCATTCACAGGTAAAGTGACAGTGCTGGAGAGCTTCAGCTCACTGGTCCGAGTGGCTGTGGAGACATCAGAATCCCAGGTTGAGGTGGAGCTGGTCCCTGCTGTGGAGATTCCAACTTGCTGGCCCAAGAAAGCCCAGTGGCCTCATTGCCTTAAGCATTGGCCTTCCCAGGAAAAAGTGCAGTGCATCAAGGTGAACCATGTAAAAAGTACCATTAACTCTATGCTGGACACCTCACAGGTGTCTGACAGTGATTTCCCAAATGAAGGACTGCGTGGTGACGGCAGGCAAGGACTGCATGGTGATGGCAGGCAACAGCATGGTTGGAAGGTGTATTCTCTAGTGAAGTGACGTTTCAAAGTATTCTGCCAGATTTTATTGGGATTTTTACCCCTTACAGTGGTGAATCGTATGGAAGAAAAACTGAGTTAACTGTCTATTGCGTGACTCTCTCGCACACAGTTCTGCCTGTGTAGCTCAGTGCTGACGTGCATCATTCTTGCTGTTCTGCTCTGCCTCACACAAGCCTTCTGCAAATGGGCTGCTATCTTGCAGGTTTCCCTTTGGCCTAATCCCATCTTCCCTTACAATGCTCATGGCTGGATTCTGGCACTCCAGCTCAGCCCCAGTTGCCATGTTCCTGCAAGTCCCATTCCACCTTCCAGTCCTGCTCCCCTCTCGTGGGTGACCTGCTGCTCCGTAGCAAAGTGCCTGCTGAGCTGCACATCTGCCTTAATAGTACTGCTGGTACTGTAGCTGGTGGCTCTAGAGCTGGATCTCCTGGGAGTAACTGATATCAGCACACAAGAAATGAAACAAATTGCATGTTCAACGTTTTCTGCATGCCTCACATTTGCTGCCTCTGCTAACCCTGCTTAGAATACACGTTGAGAGATGTCACACATCCTTTTTGTAATGTCTCTCTGCGTTGCTCAGAGAAGTTTGCTTCTGATCTGGTGTCACACCTCCCCTCTTGTCCACAGTCACTTGGTTTTGACCTTTTGGCCCGCTCCAATTATCACTGGCAGCTGTGCTTCTCCCGTGCTGAGCGTATACTCATGGAAGGACTTGATGAAGATGGTGGTTGTCGCATGAAGTGCTTCAGGGTCTTGAGGCAGATGAAGGAAGATGTGTGGTGTGCTGGAAATAAGCCTGTCATCACAGCTTATCACCTTCAGGTAGGTATCACCACGGTACCAAGATACGGTCTCAGTATCTGTTGCAGTGGCTTCCATCCAGTAATGTCAAAATATCATGACCGTAAGTCACTGTAGTGTCTATGTAACTTCTAAGGTGACTGTCAAAACTGCAGTACCATTTCATTGCTTTACAGTGGCAGGAAGTTCAGTAAATATATGTTCCAAACTTCACCAAGAAACTAAAGCCTGTAGGAACATTTTGATTGCAGCAACATAAATAATGTTACAGTTGAGGCCCCTGCTCTGTTTTGACTTCACATAGGCATTGTTATATTGTCTTCAATTGTGCAGTTACCCCCTGCTTCTTGACTGTCTCAGCCATCCATATCCATCCATCTGTCTGGAGGAAAACTGTGCATTTGTCTTTGTGGACATGCACCAAACAAAATTGTCTTAGGTGAGCGTTATTTCGTAAATGAGGTGCAGTTCTGGTGTTATTTCATCTGGAGTGGGAAAGGAAGAAAGAGGTAAAGGGGTGGTAGCATCCTCCCTGCACATACTTCAGGGTTCCAGATGGCTTCAGACAACAATTGTGAAGAAGCGACAAAAGGCTCTGTTATGTCTGTGTCCCTGCATCTGACAGCTGCAGACACTGATGGACGACAGGCAGCACCATTTATCAGACAGCAGAGCAATCCTGTGTTCTGGACCTCCATTCTCCAGGAGCTGCCAGGGAGAGGCTGTTCTTCTCCCACCTTGAAGCCTCAACACGCCAGGCTTTCACAGTAGTTACTCATCTTTTGGTGTCCAAAACCAGATGCAATGCCAAGATTTCTCCTAAAGAAAAGGTTGTGACCATCAAATGCTATTATAGTCTTGTGACTAATCTAAGTCAAGATGGAGTCAGAGAAGAGTAGACAAGGCTGGTTGTAGCTTAGCAGAATGCAAAACTTCTTGATGCCTGTAAGAACAACCTGGTGGAAAAATTGTCATAGGTAGGAGAAAGTGGAAAACCATTTAACCATTAGTGATGATCTCTTTCTCTGGCTGAAGGAGGGAAGGTGCAGGAGTGCTGTTGCATGGAATCTTGATCAAAATAAAAAGCTTTTTAGAAGCTCTTCAGTTCTTTGCTGTAACTGTACTTCAGGCTTTTACTGAAAGAGAGCATTGGTTTACCAGACAGAAGGAATGCTCCAATGTTACTAAAAAAAAAAAAAAAAAGAGAGAGAGAGAAACAGTCAGTGGATAAATCGGCAGTGGAGCAGAAGCTTACTGTTAGGTTTCTTCACATTATCAGGTTTCGCCTGTCAGAGGTATCCAACAATCATGATTAAAAAAGACTCCGTATGAAAAAGGCCCCCAGTGACAGAGGAAATCCTTCCCCCCAGAAGTTGTGAAAGCCTTAGAGGACCAACTAAGTGGACTCATTATGCTTACTTCCATAGGAAGGAAGTTCAAGATCGGGAGTTATGGAAAAGATCTAGGTACATTTTGAAAGCCAACTCCATACCTCTGGTAGGCAGCTGGCAGTTAGGGACAGTTCAGTAAATGCTGGGGATAGATCACCTCTTTGGCACCTGACTGGAAGAGCTGCGCTCTTTTCCTTGCCTCCAGAAACTTCATTGCAACTGCTGTCCATGGATCTTGCTGAAGTAGTTTTAGTGTGATGAAAGGTAACTGCTCTGTAAGTCTCCAAGGAGTAGCTCAAGTTACAGCTTGAATTCCTCACTATGTTTTTTGTTCCCTGGCAACATTAAAAAAAAGTCTTTGTGGTTATTGCAGCTGTGACCAAAAAATTGTTCACATTTGAAAAGCTGTCTGAGAAGAAATTTCTCAGCACTACAACTATTGCAATGCCTACTGGAGGGGAAAAAACAAACCAGGCAATCCAGAATAGTGTGGTTTATTTTGATGAAATTAGTAGAATCATAGAATCATAGAATGGTTTGTGTTGGAAGGGACCTTAAAGATCGTCTAGTTCCAACTCCCCTGCCATGGGCAGGGACACCCTCCACTAGCCCAGGTTGCTCAAAGCCTCATCCAGCCTGGCCTTGAACACCTCCAGGGATGGGGCATCCACAGCTTCTCTGGGCAACCTGTTCCAGTGCCTCATCACCCTAATTTCTAATATCTAGACTAAATGTGCCTTCTACCAGTTTAAGTCCATTACCTCTCATCCTGTCACTGCATGCCCTTGTAAAGCATCCCTCCCCATCTCTCCTGTAGCCCCCTTTAAATACTGGTAGGCTGCTATAAGGTCCCCTGGAGCCTTCTCCAGGCTGAACACACACAGAATCACAGAATCACAGAAT